AGAAAAATTGCTATATGTATTTATTCGTCTTCTCATAATTAAATTAATTGAGTTTAGGAAATAATCATAAAGATCCTTTCTTCTCTAAGATCATAAAAATAAAATCAACTAGCTTTTAGAACGGATTTTCTTTAATATGCAAATGTAGTTCAAGTTATTTAAAAATTTTTTCATCTCAGATGTTTTTCGTTCACATTTTTCTTAAACTCAAATAAATGCTATTGCTCGATTGTGAATTTTATTCTAATACTCTAATTCTTATCTTACTTAATTTAACATTCTAGTTAGAGTAGCATCAGTATTCATATTTAAAAATTTCCAATATAACCCTACTCTTATGTCTAGTTGGCTTAATAAGTTGAGAACAATGAAGATATATAGAATAACAATTTTATGTAAATTTTTTTTGCTTATATTTTCAATTTTTCGATTATTGGCTAAATCTTAATTAATCAATTTTGTAAAGATTAAAATTTTTTTAAGCTTAAATAAAAGTTAAGGAAAATCTCATTATTAGAGGTGAGATAATTATTCATCATTGAAAAATACACACTTAAATTTAAGGGTTTAAAAATTCTCTTACTATTTAGGATCTGATTTTATGGATGATTTTTATTGATCTGGCCATTGTTCCGATTATCATTTTGATATCATCATATGCATAAACTCTAAAGCAAAATTCATTAGTTCATTGTTAAGTGAAAAAAGAAAAATTAATATAAAATTATGTGTAGATAAGACATTTCTAATAATATGTTTAGATGAGACTTCACAACAATAATACTAAGGTCTAAAGTATAAAAATCAAATATTTTGAAAAAGAAGAGATTTTCAATTATGAAATAAACAAAAGAATCAGGTTGAATCTTATTATCATTATGAGATTTAAAACGGGGATTTTATGTTTATCTGTTAAACTAGAGAATAAGCAATTATTTCTCTAATTTCCTTAATTATGATTTAAAAACTACACAAGAAATTTTCACCCAACTCTTTAGGTTATTGAATTGAAAATTTATTTGATATTATTATTATCTCTTAGATCTCATGAACACAAGTGTAACTAAGTTCTTGGTATTTTCTATAAACACACCTGATCTACTCAGCATCATCAACTTTCAGTTAATTTACATCAATATAAATTCTAGGCTTTAGATATAATCCACTAACTAGGGGATTTATGTTAATTTCTTCAATAATATTATAATGGATCCTCAACCTCCATGAGTCCAAAAATTCATACGACTGTCCATTTTTCTTTACATATGCCCTACAAATTATTAATGAGTTGGAATTCCAATACTCAAAAAAAGTATCGGTAATATTCAATTTCAAAATTATCTTAATGAAATAGTTTCTCTCTTAAAAAAAAATGAACTACTATTAATAAGATTATTTCAATAAATGAATATTTTGTGTTGAGGCGTAAAATTTTAAAACGTAATTGATAAACTAACTAAGAATTAAATATAATGATTATAATATCTCAATTTGGAATAAATTGGATCATTTTAATCTTTAGGTTATGTATTATAAAAGGCAATCGTTTAATTTCGGAAGTAGAACATCATTTAAATATATATCAACATTTTATATTATTCATCATCAAACTGGTATATAATCCAATAATTTCATCTAAGAGTAATGAGCAAAACCCACACACGGATATAATTCTTATGATGTATCTATTTCCAACTACTGATAATGGTTATTATATTTACAACAAATGTTAATTGTGGATTATTCTATTTACTCCATTTAATGTATTTATGCTCGATACATACTTCAATTATTATTATATCATTATTTGTAAATTCAAATGAAATTCTTTTATCATATAAATCCTTGTTATGATGTGAATAAATGCAACCACCAGAGCTGATTAAATATGTTCTATTATCATTATAATTATATACCCATAACCAGTATAAT